GGGTGAAGAGGATTCTGAAAGTGATGATAAAAGGTTGAAAGCTTTTTAAGGGTAGTTTAATTCTCAGTATTCCAACAGAGTCAAGTGGACCCAATCTTGGCTTTTTAATTTCTTTTCTTAAATATTGATGTTTTAAAACACTTATTTCATGCTTTAGCATCTTTCAAGGAACAAAGAAAATTTTTTCTTATTTTTAAAATAGGATAAAATTCATTCTGACCTGCAGATATATAAGGGATCTTGGCAATCTTACTTTCTTGAAACGTTTTGCTATTTTATCATCCTAGAAATTATCAGTATAATTTAAGGATCATGTAAAACTATCATTTTATTAATATGAAAATGGTAGAATGATGAATCACATGGAAAGATGTTGTAATAGGTGAACTAAATCATCACTATTACATAATATTTTATTTTTTTATTGTAGTACCCAAAGTATATCAAGAACTGTGAAGGGTCTGAGATTTTACTCTACTTGCAAGCTAGCAAGTTAGTCTGCCACATACTTTCATGTATGCTGGCAGAAGACAGGAGACAAAGGACTTTATTACACACGGCACAGCAGCCAGCGTGAGCTTCATATTTGCATTGTTTCCTTTCATGCACAAACCCCACAGGGGTAATGAGGAGGTGGGCCCAGGTGGGAGTTGCACACAGAGTGAATTTCATGATAGCTGAAGATCCCTGAGCTTATGAAGCCTCCATTTTTATAAAAGAATTCCTACCCAACCTTTGCCCCAGAGGGAGATACTATTTGTACCTTCCAAGGCTGTTTTCTGTACATACATGCTTGAAAAGCTCTCACAATATGTGTAGCAATACCATGGAGCAGGGCTGCCCAACAAAATATTGTACCATCTATCAAGAAGGTGTGGAGTGCTCTGCATGACTGACCATTATCTTTTAAAATTATTGATTTCAAAATTTTTCATTTTTTCCCATAGTGACAAAGAGAAGGAAATTGACAGAAGACATTTTAGTTATTAGATGACTCAGAAGATGAATATAAAGAGATAGCAGCACTCTAGATTCTAATAATGATGGTGAAATTGATTATATAAGCAAAAATCAGATTATCAGTCTTCAGATGAAAATATCATAGATGAATTATTGCAAACCCAAGAATCAGTAGTGAACAATAGGTTTCTAAGAACAAAAAGGGAATAGGATGCTCTCATCCAGTTAGTCATCCAATAAGAAGGACTTCATTATGCAATATTTTGCAACAAGAACCTGGACTAGCCCATTTGCTAAAAGGATATGTGATAGTATTTTCATGTTTTATTATATATGTGCACCAAAATTTACTTCATACAGTTCACAAGTGGGCAAATATTGAAAACAGCTTATATACAAAAGTGACTAAAAGGAAAAAAATGATATAGAAATGAAAATTTTCATTGGATTGATTATTCTAATTAATACTTATAAATCTAAAGGATAAAAATGCAAATTATATAGTAAAGAAGATGAATTTATCAATTTATAAAAATTAGAAACTGTCACATTTTTAAAAGTATTGTCTTTTGAAGATGCCAAGTACAAGAAGAAAGAGTTAGAAGTAATGATAAACTAGAACCCATTAGAAATGTTTTTAAAATCTGAAATTAGTATTTACAAAATGGGTATTTGCAAAGTTCATGAATGACAGTTTTTCAGCAGTCCATTGTATTTCATACCATTAAAACCATAGAATATGCAATATACTTAAAATTTATATTAACACTTCTAATAAAGTTATTTTTACTATCATTTTATTCTCTAAATTATTCATCAAGTGAATAAAATATAAAACAAGTGAAACACCCATTGGACCTAGATAGTAAATACTGATGACTAATTTTCCTGTTATACTAAAAATCAAACAAAAGTACATTGTTGTGTTCCACATTCTGGGAACAAATGGGGTTCTGTATTCCTGTCCTTGTGTGTGTTTGTTACATCTTTGTTTGTTTGTTACAAATGAATCTCCTGTGGTTCCCATAGTATAAAAATTGCAACTAACTTCTACAAGTGATATTACAGTAAATTTGATAGACCTAGTTTTCACTTATCAATAGGTATCTTATTTGCATCTCCAAAATGTTCCTGAAAAACAATGAACTCCCTATAAGAAGGTGACAGAACATATTTAAAGCAGTGCTCTGAATGACTGAGCATTTTCCCTCAGATATGTACCTATGTCTGTACCTTCTTAGAAATAATAATAGCAAATCTCTTACCTTTGACCTCTAACTAAAGCCTGGGAGGGGTGGGGGACTGCAAACCAGGAAGCAATATAAAATATTCCAGATTTGCTTTCTCTAACTGATACTTCTCATGAGTGTTGTGTCCTAGAATATCCCAAAAAGTAGAATGCCTTTCTCTCTTAATTTGATTTTATTGTTGCAACTTCATTATTTCATTTAGAGAAGTGGTCCCCAACCTTTTTGGCACCAGGGACCATGGTTTCATAAACCACATTTTTCCATGGAGCTGGAGGATGGGGACCATGGAGGGGGGATTGTTTGGGGATTATTCAAATGCATTACATTTACTATACACTTTATTTCTATTATTATTACATTGTGACATATAATGAAATAATTATACAACTCACCATGATGCAGAATCAGGGGGAGCCCTGAGCTTGGTTTCCTGCAACTAGACACGTCCCATCTGGGGGTGATGGGAGACAGTGACACCCAAAACATGTTGCTTATGTCCAGTCTACTCTGTAATCTCATTTTGGTTGCTGTCACTGCAGAAACCCCTGCTCCACAAAGATGGGATATTGGAAATGGAAGCAGGCTTTCCAGTGCTTTTGTGGCAATCTCAGGATATTCCACCTTGACTTTAATCCAGGATGTATGGAGATTTGAAGTTGTCTCAAACATACTTTTAAGGCCTCTGTCATTCGCAGTCTCAAGGAATTGATCCTTTTCTAGCACAAAGTCGATTCACCAGCTTGTTCACAAATGGATTGCAGACCCATTCCTTCCCAGTTCAGGGGTCTTTTGTGGTTGGGAGGTAATGCTCAAAGTCTTTTGAAAGCTGAGATAGGTGATCATGCACCAGTTGGGAGAAAGAAGGCCCTGGCTCAGTCTCTTTCAAAATCTCTGCTAATGTTTGAAACATCAAAAATCCCAGTGTGCACTCATCATCCCTGTATTTCCAGTTTGGCTTTGAATGCAGTCACTTTATTTGCCAACTTCTCATTCTCCCTGAAGTGACAGATTGAGTTCATTGAGCAGGTTGAATATGTCACACAAGTAAGCAAGTTTTGTGACCCATTCTGTGTCACTGAAATGTGCTGCCATTGGTGACTGTTTTTCTAGAAATCTCTGGAGTGGCTCTCATAACTCAAAAACTCTGGCCTGTGAGCTACCTTTAGAAAGCCATCTCACTTCTGTGTGTAAGAGATGTGTGTGCTCTGCGTCCATCTCACAGAGCTACACAAACATATGTGAGTTAAGGGCATGCACTTTAATGTGGTTGATAATTTTAATCACATCCCACAAAACATTGTTTAGTTCAGGTGACATTTCTCTATGGATGGCACAGTGCATATACACACATACAGAAACGACTTCCTTGACCCGAGTAGTGAAACCAGAAAGCTGTCCAGTCACGCCAGCTGCTCCATCCATGCATATACTGACACAAAATGACCAGTTCAGTTTTCCTGATACGTAATCATTCAAAGACTGGAAAAGTCCTGCAGCTGTAGTGTTGGTTGGCAACAAAAGTGCATATAACATATCTTCATGCACATCCTCCTCAAAAATATATTGCACAAAAAGAAGTGTTGTCGCCATGTTGTCAACATCAGTAGACTTGTCAATCTGGATTGTGTACCACAGTGACTCATTAATCCTCTCTAACAATTGTGCCTCAGTATCTTCTGCTATTTCATCAATTCACTTAGTTATGATGTTAGCTGAAAGAGGAACACGTGCCACCTTTTGAACTGTAGCTTCTCCTAAAAGTTCTTGGCAAATGTCCTGCACAGCGGGGCAGGATCAAGTCTTCACCAGTAGTAAAGTGCTTCTTGGCTTTGGTAATGCTGTTAGCCACTAAGAATAATGCTCTCAGTGCAGACACATTTGATGAAGTGGTGGCCTTCATGATTCCTTCTGTTCTTCGTGTTCAAATTTTTGTTTTCTTTTGAAAAACTCCAAAGGCTTGTCTTTTAATGCTGAGTGCTTGGTCTCCATGTGATGAAACAGTTTTGAATGTTTCATGGCTTCATTGAGTACTGGTCGCCGCATGTTATATAAAGTAGGCTTGGAGAATGTGAATCACCTGTTGCAATGAACCTGCAATATAAGTAGGACTCTTGGTATTTTCTTTTAAATGCAGCTTTTATGTGTTGGCAGTCTTAGAGTCTTCTGCTGTCTCATCATTGGATCTTTCTCCCCTTTCACAGCAGCTCTCCAGGGACGTTTGTTTTTTATTCATTTTTGCTGGAATTACCTTGTTGGCTTACCAACACTGACTGAGACAAATATGCATTGCGGGAAAGAGGCGCAGAAGGAAGTGGTAAATAAAATAATGGGCAGGCCACATTCAAACTAAAACAAGTTTCAGATTCTGACTTAAAGCCTGCCACCAGATACAGCTGTACTGTTGAAGTATATCAACTCACTAGCCACTATAAAGCTTGCCACCAGATGCAGCTTAATTGTAACTTGCCACTCACTGATAGGGTTTTGATATGAGGCTTCGGGCAATTGATTTATTATGGTCTCTATGTAGTCAAACCTCTCTGGTAATGATAATCTATATCTGTAGCCACTCCCCAGTGCTAGCATCACTGTCTCAGCACCACCTCAGATCACCAGGCTTTAGATTCTCATAAGGAATGTACAACCTAGATCTCTTGCATGTGCAGTTCACATTAGGGTTCGTTCTATCAGAATCTAATGCCCCAGCTGATCTGATTGGAGGCGGAGCTCAGGCAGTGATGCAAGCAACAGGGAACAGCTGTAAATACAGATGAAGCTTTGCTCACTCACCTCTGCTCACCTCCTGCTGTATAGCCTGGTTCCTAACAGTCCATGGATCGGTACCACTCCACTGTCTGGGGGTTGAAAACTGCAGATTTAGAGTGAATTTCGGAATTACTGGCACACCCATACTCACTTGGCAGCATACAAGACCATTCCTAAATCAAATATAAATTATCTGATCTTTCACATTAGCCTTTTTAAAAAATGTTGAGAAGCAATTATAGCGTGTAATTCAATAAGTATTTATTGAGTAGCTGTTATATATTAACACCATAGACTTGAAGAATATTAAGACATAGTTCCTCTTATGAACTTCATGTTTGTATTTCCCCCAGAATTCATATTTTGAAACTCTAATCCCTAACAGGCTGGTTTAGGGGGCAAAGCCTTGAAGAGGGTATTAGGTTTAGATGAGATCATGAGGATGGAGCCCACATGATGGGATTAGTGTTCATATAAGAAGAGAAAGGTACTAGAGAGATGATGTCTCTTTTGTCTATGTGAGGATACAGCAATAAAGTCGCTGTGCGCAAGCCAGGAAGCAAAGCCTCACTAGATACAAGATCTCCTAGAGCCTTGATCTTGGACTTCCCAGCCCCGAGAACTGGGAGAAATAAATGTTTGTTGTTCAAGCCACTCAGTCTATAATATTTTTGTTACAGCAGCCAAATTAAGATAGTCACTATTTGGCCGGGCGCTGTGGCTCACGCCTGTAATCCTAGCTCTTGGGAGGCCGAGGCGGGCGGATTGCTCAAGGTCAGGAGTTCAAAACCAGCCTGAGCAAGAGCGAGACCCCGTCTCTACTATAAATAGAAAGAAATTAATTGGCCAACTGATATATATAGAAAAAATTAGCCGGGCATGGTGGCGCATGCCTGTAGTCCCAGCTACCCGGGAGGCTGAGGCAGAAGGATCACTCGAGCCCAGGAGTTTGAGGTTGCTGTGAGCTAGGCTGATGCCACGGCACTCACTCTAGCCTGGAAAAAAAAAAAAAAAAAAAAAGATAGTCACTATTTTAAAAGTTCTGAATTTAAAAGGGAAAAAAATGGTTAATGAAAACTTATAATATAATGCATATATTTCTCTGTATTGCCCTAACAATTTATTTTCATTCAGAAACCCAAAGAATATCTTTAAACTAAATCTGGTCAGGTTTAGAAGAATGAAATCTGATGGAGTGATATTATAGATTTGATTTGCACATAGTAGGTGCTTAATTCTTGTTGAGTAAAGAAAAGACTGGATGTGCTATTCAGTGTGTGGCTAATAAGTTTCTGTGAAATCCTATCTAATTTTCAGAGTATTGCATGTTTTCTAGAGTTTTCATAGCACACTTGAAATGTCCAAAGTCGTGTGGTTTTGGCTACTTCTGGTTTTTAATGTGTCTAGTAAGGTCTGCAGATCTTATTCATTTTAGTTGAATATGTTACAACCAAGTGGGGAAAGGGACCTAAATTCAAAATTTCAAATTATTTTGGCAAGACCAGCTCTTTTTTCATGCTAACACCAGGCCACAAAGCTTCATTGTTGTCCAGTTGAATGAATGCATGGCTTTCATTTGGGAGGAGGGAACTTTCTGGCAATTGAAGTTTCAGAAAAACTACTGGTTGTGGCAAATGACACATGAATTTGTTCACCAGATAACACTGTCAGCTATATTGTGTCCACTGATTTTCATGATCCATGTTTCTTAGCCCATCATTGAAATTCAGCACCTGGAGGAATTCAAAAATATATACTTGTACTCGCATATAATTCATATGTCTCTTCTTACCCTTTTTGTTCAGCCATTCAGGGCATAGTTTAATAGAGCATCTCAAACACGTTCACCTTTAACATTAGCTGTTTAAAAGAGGTGCCTGCCAAAATGGATTGCTGTTTTAAATTGTTGATACTTTTAACTAAGTATGGTCTGGCGGTGGGGATACCTTGAGATAGTTCAGCTGAATTTCTGATGGTTTTAAAATATACCTGATAGTTTCTGCTTCTCTCTTCTTTGGCAACAGTCGTCAGGGGAACGCTTTGTACAAAATCCAAAAGCGTGTTTTCTAAGTGTTCAGAAAAGGATTAATTATGAAACCTGAAAGCAAACTTTGAAAATATAGGCAGAGTTGATCTCGGTTATTTTTGAATTAAGTCTCGATGCCACAATGATAAAAATAAAAATACCTTGCCTGATTTCTATTTAGATCTGATCTGCCTGTCACCAGAAACTCATCCATATAGGGGGATTAACTGTTCACATGTTCTTTCAACATCCAAGTGCTGTGCGTGGAGTAATGGAAAATGATTAATTTGTTTTGTCATTCTCTTTGAGAACACAGGACATCCCTTAAAAAGAAAATAACCCTTTATTTTGAGGACAGAGAGGATTAATTATGTTCACCGCACCAAGGTGCTTTTAAGTAAATTAGCTTGGACCTTACCTCAGCCAGAACAATTATCATTCCTAATCAGAGTTCTTTATCGGGACCCTCTGCTCCACATTACATACGAAAGAGACAGATGTGATTGCCTATGTTAGGGTGTCTTGAGGACTTGGGACAAGGGCTTTGCAGGTTTCAGGGACATCATTAGCATTTCTCAGTATATGCTCTGTGTTACATGTCCCCATTGTGATGCAGGGATCAGCCCGTGTGGACTCATCCTCAGGAAGCTCTTCAACTCACTGGCTTCCTGTGCCACCTCTTTAGATCCACAGAAGTCTTTGTTCTCATTTCCTTTCTTTAACTTGGTCTAGACTACTCAACTCAACTTTACTGTCCCCTCATTCTTCTTCCAGTTCTGTTTTTCAATTATTGCTTATTTAATTTTTGAGTCTGTTTAGAAATATTCCGTGTTCCTCAAAATCAGTCAATTTTTAAATTCTGCTTTTAATACATTTTTCTCTATTTCTATTGCCACAATATTTCTAAGTTCTAAATGCATATTTATGTTTTTGATGAGAAGGGTTTTTGCGTAAAGTTGAAATTTATCATGTGACATGCCAAGTACTCAGCATTGAAAATATAGGGGAAAATATCATGCCTTTAAGGAGTTTGCAGTCTACTGAAGGAGACAAGTAAACACACAGTTACAGAATAATTATGCACATAATGGGAGATATATACATGCATGGGAACTACTGAGTATAGCAGCCTAACCCAGAGTTTTGGGGGAGTGGTTCGTGGAATAATAACTAATATTATCAGTGTAATAAAAGCTAGTGTTTATTAGCTCTTACTACATGCCAGGCCCTGCTCTAAGTACATTGCATGTCTTAATGTGTTTGATCTTTACAACAACTCTGCACAATGGGTATTATTATCATTCCTATTTATAAGGAAACTGAGTCCCAGTGCAGAGGCATGGGAATTTCCTTAAAGACACATAGCCAGTGAGTGACTAAACCAAGATTTAAACTCAGGCAAACTGGCTCAGGAGCCCATGCCCTTAGCTGCAGTGCTAGAGGAGATAGTGACCAAGCCAAGTCTTACAGAAGGAGAATCAGTGAACTAATTTAAGCAGTCTGTAGAGAATATTCCAGACTGATGAACCTTAATGTGCAACATCATGATGGCATAGGAGCTTTTAGGAGAGAAGCAAAAGTATAAAATAATATTTATGGCAATAGAACCAGAAGCTAATTAGCAGTATTCAGATAAGGGGGAAATTGTGAGATCATTTTTTTTATAAGTTAGGCCAATTATAAAGTGAAAAATAGTGAAAAGCAAGTTTGTTGCCTGCTTTTAGAAGCATCTTTTCTAAAAATACAAAATGACAAATATTTGGAGTTGGTAATTTGATGGGGCAAAAACCCAAGGAGACAAAAATGTCTTTCTTCCTATTTTATATATATACACACAGTCATTAACTTTACTTTTTGCCATAGAAGAGTGAAAGTTTCTCCACCCCCACAGGTGTTCTTGGGTAAATATTAAGCCTGAGAATCCCATATGTAGCTTATTCCCTATTTTGCTTTCTCTTTGTAAAATATTTTTTCCACACTCTTTCCAACCTTTTAAGCTTAAAAACCAGATCCCAACCTACCATGAGAAGCAGTTAAAACTACAGTAGACTAAGGCTAGAGCCAAAAAGGTTATTAGAGATGTTCAGGTCCTATTTGCCAGATTTAGAAACTGAGGCCCGTGGATTAAACAGTTTGCCCAGCTTCATACAACTGGTATGTCAAAGCTGAGATATAACCCTTCGTCTTCCTGATTTCCTATTAGTGATCTTTTTTACTTTATCTTGCTGCCCATCTTTAAACAGAAGGCTACCATAGATGAAAATAATATAAGCAGAGAAAACGTTTTGTGGACATTTAGAACATTTTCAGAAATTTACAGCAAAAATGAATGTTCTTAGGGTGTGAAAGTATTTGGGATAAATCAGGAGTGTTTGGTACGGCACCCTGGGCCTTCTGGGGATTCAGTCTGTTCTCCCAATAAATTCCTCTTGGAGCTCGACACAAACGATCCTCTGAGATGGGTCTCAGAGTTTCTGCTGCTGTCCAGCAAGTCCCCAGCCTGGGTGTGAGGGGCCCCACCTGCTTTCACGCAGTGCTCCCAAACTCCACATGTTCTTCTCCTAGTTAAGGCTAAGGGGCTAGCAGTCTGTTCTCTAAACAAAATCCAGAATGTACCTTTGGAGAGTAAATGAGAACATATCACTACTCTGCCCCAAAGTCTCAAAAGACCTTCCATCTCATTGAGAATTAAATACAAAATCTTGAATGTGGCCTAAAAGGCTCTCTAAGATCTTGTCTTAGGCATCTTTGGCCTCACCTTATCATGAGCTCCTTACCTGGCCACACCAGGCTCTTGGCCATCCATTCCTGCAGTGTGCCAGACAGGCCCCCTGTTCTGTCCCCATTGCTTCCCCCCAGGGATTCTCATGACTTGGTCCCTCATTTCATTCTGCTCCAAAACCATCTCATCAGAGAGGCTATCCCAAATCAACTATGTCTGAAATAGCAACCCTGTCACTCCCTACCACTCTACCCTCCTTTAGTCTTCTTCAGAGCATTTATGACAACCTTACATTTTATGCATTTGTTGGTTTCTCCCCCATTAAAATGTAAGCTCCAAAAGGACAGAGATTGTTGCTTTACTTATTCATCTCTATAACAGTATCTGAGGCCTTCAGTAAATATTTACAGATTGAACAAATGTGAAAACCTTTCCTTCATCACATAATAGTCATTTGTTTGTTTAAGCAGCATTTGTTGAATATTTCTCCTGTAGCAGGCACTGGGTGGAGTGCTGGGGACACATTCCCTGCCCTCATGATGTTTAATGCCTACTGTTGACACAAACAGTAATCCAACAGTCCCACAAAAGAATATCAGTGCCCTGATGAGTATTTCCAAAGTGAGGTCCGTGATGCAATGGAGAGCTTGTGTGACAGGATCAGGAAAAGCTGGGAAGCCTGGGCTTAAATATAAAAGATAATGAAACTTAACCAGTTAACTTAAGGTCTGTACATTTCATTATATGTAAATTTCACATTTAAAAAATAAATAACGAACTGAGTTGGTGATTTGCATGCTGGAGTAGTTAGGGGGAAGTACGCTAATATGTGCAATCTCCTTTGAAATGCTTCCTAAAATAAGGGGGATTAAAGGACAAACAGAGGGATGGATAGATGGATTGATAT